TCATGGTAAATAATCAGTCCTGTGGTATTTGTGGAATAGGTACTGTGCGGATCCGGATGCACGATGGAGTAGTTCATGAATTAAAGGAGGTGAGATTTGTTCCTCACCTGAAGAAGAATCTTATCTCAGTTGGAGCTTTGGAGGCAAAGGGATTCAATGTGACCTTTGAAAATGCTATAACGAAGGTCACTAAGGGATCTTTAATGGCGATGAAGGGAGTCCGCAGTCGAAATTTATACTATCTAAAGGGGAGCATCGAGATTGGCCAGGTTGTTTCGGCTATTTCAGTGGTGGACATGAGCAGGCTTTGACATTATAGGTTAGGGCACACAAGCGAGAAGTCACTGCAGGCGCTGTGCAAGAAGGGGCTATTGAAGGGAGCCAAGAGTGGTAAAGTGGAGTTCTGTGAGCACTGTGTACTTGGAAAAAATATGAAGGTGAAGTTCAGGACAGCCATTCATAAGACGAGGGGCATCCTAGACTACATGCACACAAATGTTTGGGGTTCCACCAAGACTACATCACTTGGTGGTCGACGTTGGTTCGTCACGTTCGTAGATGACTATTCTACGCGTTGTTGGGTGTACATCATGACGCATAAGAATGAAGTCCTAGATTTGTTGTGGAGTGGAAGAAGAGATTGGAACTACAGACTGGGAGAAAGATCAAGACATTACGATCCGACAACGATGGTAAGTACACATCAGACCTCTTTCAGCAGCTATGTCGAGATGATGGAATAAAGAGACACTTCACAGTTAGTCATACACCATAGCAGAATGGGTGCCAGAGAGGTTAAATCGATCTTTGCTGGAGAATGTCCGATGTTTATTATCGCAGAGTGGTTTGGAGAAGATCTTTTGGACTGAAGCACTTACATATATGAGTCACCTTATTAATAGGCTGCTTTCATCTACGATTAAGGGGAAGACCCCTATGGAGAAGTGGTCGGGAGAGCCAGCACTAGATTATGACCAGCTCAAGGTATTCGGGTGCCCTACATTTTATCATGTGAGAATAGATAAATTGGAACCTCGAGCTAGGAAGGCCATATTTGTAGGATTCAAGCGTGGTGTCAAGGGATACAAGCTATGGGATCTATTTGATACAAAGATTGTGCTGAGTAGGAATGTCACATTCGACGAGGCTTCTATCTTAAAGCTTCCTAGCTCTCATCAGGTGGAGAGCGACCCAACAGAGGTGGTGGAGATCGATGCAGCTCCATAGTATCCACATGGTGCAGTATCCATTAGACTGCCGACTGAGGTGATGCCAGGAGAGCATGACGGTGACACAGAGGATACGGTACTGATGTGTAGGATTAGGGACCGACGGTTTAGGTTCAGCATTCTATTGCGGTTCGGAGACAGAGGAGAGATATACGGATTCCAGCACGGTATGCCGATACAGTTGCGTATGCACTTCCGGTGAAGAGTATCGATGAGATTGTGCCTACTATATTCAGAGAGGCCGAGCAGAGTTTGGAGGCTGATTCGTGGCAGGTAGCTATGCAGGAGGAGATGGAGTCTCTTCACAAGAATGATGCGTGGGAGCTTGTTAGCTTCCAAAGGGGCGAAAGGTAATTGGTTGCAAGTGGGTATACACAAAGAAGGAAGGCATTGAGGGTACTCCATTGAGGTTCAAAGCTAGGTTGGTTGCGAAGGGCTATGCACAAGAGGAAGGTATTGACTATAATGAGGTTTTCTCTCCGATGGTGAAACACTCTTCGATTCAGATTTTGCTAGCTTTAGTGGCACAGTATGGTTTAGAGTTAGATCAGTTGGATGTGAAGACGATATTTTTTCATGGTGATCTTGATGAAGAAATATATATGACTCAGTCATTGGGATTCCGAGCTACAGGGAAGGAAAATTTGGTTTGCAAATTGAAGAAATTGCTATACGGTTTGAAGCAGTCTCCTTGACAATGGTATAGGCGATTCGATGGTTTTTATGATTGGTCATTCGTACACTCGGAGCCAGTTTGATCTTTGCGTATATTTTCGTATGTTGAAAGGAGGTGCGTACATCTATTTGTTACTTTATATCGATGACATGTTGGTTGCCTCTATTTCCAGATATACTATAGATGAGTTAAAGGCACAACTTTCAAAGGAGTTTAAGATGAAGGATTTGGGTGAGGAGAAGCGCATTTTAGGGATGAAGATCGGCAAAGACAAGAAGAATGGTAGAATTTGTTTGACACAGGTGGCTTATTTGAAGAAGGTTCGACAGCGATTTCATGTTAGCATGGATACGAAGCCAGTTATTGTACCTTTGGGAGCCCATTTGAAACTTTTAGCTGACCTTTCACCGAAGACAGTTGAAGATAGAGAGTTGATGTCAAAGACTCCATATGCGAGCGCGGTCAGGAGCTTGATGTATGTGATGGTATGTACGAGGTCAGATTTGTCACAGGCGGTAAGCATGGTTTCGAGATACATGCACGATCTAGGAGTGGGTCATAGGGACGCCGTGAGATTGATTTTGAGGTACATTTGAGGTACGCTCAATGTTGGTTTAGTTTATGAGTGGGACACTATAGGTAGGCAGTTGTGCATTGGCTATGTTGATTCGGATTATGCCGGGGATTTAAATAAGTACCGATCCACGACGGGGTATGTATTCACTTTGACCCGTGTGTCGGTGTGTTGGAGATGCACCTTACAGTCTACGGTGGCTTTGTCTACGACGGAGGCAGAGTATATGACGATTACGGAGGCTGTGAAGGAGGCTATTTGCTTTGAGGACTTTTGGAGGAACTTGGTATATCGCAGGGATCCGTCACTATTCATTGTGATAGCATGAGTGTTATCTATTTCACGTAGAATCAGGTTTTTCAAGCGAGGACGAAGCACATTGACGCTCGTTATCACTTCGTTCGAGGTGTTCTTGAATATGGCGATGTGGTGATTGTGAAGGTTCACACGAAGGATAATCTGACGGATATGCTCACTAAGGTGGTTCCGAGCAATAAGTTTAATCATTGTCGAAACTTGTTGCACAATCGTGACTGTTGAGGTCGTTGGCGGCCATTTGAGTGAACTACGTGAAGACTTGATTCCTTAGGCAAGAGGATACGTAGGCAGTCTTTCTTCCAATGTCTCTGCTCCTTGCAGAATGCACATTGGTTCTTTGCTAATTGATGGCGGCTTCTTAACTTTGAAAGATAGAGCAATTGGTGGCATGTACTCACCAATAGAACTACATGAGGTCTATCCCTCTAAACTTTTTCAATAATTTTAAGGGTCAAAAAAAAATTCACCCAGTGGGTCCATTCATAAAAATAGAATTACAGGATCTATTCAGAATTAACCCTAATGTCCACTTGCAATGGTCTTGGATTCTCTCATCCAACGAGAGAAAGATTCATTTAAGGCAATTTTCTATCTATACCCTTGAACAAAATTCCCTTGCCTTTCACTTCTTAACTAAGTTACAATGACTACTGTTAGTTATGTCAGATGATATTTTTGGCAGGGATGTGTAATTATTTATGGAAAAAAATAATGTACGAAAATTGAAGGAGCATTATTAGGACATCATTTTAGCAGAGGTTTAACAGTCTGCGCAAGATACTTCTTCAGTATCCACAAAAAGATATCGTATACTGTAATTTGCAGTCCTTAGACATTTCATGAACATGTAAATTTACTCACTAAACACTTTGATTCAGAAAAGCCAAATGTAGCTATCAACACATCTGGCTAAACTACAGAAACTAGGACACGGGTTGCCTAAGGACGAGGCAATTGAGAATTAAGAGATGAGAGAGAGAGAGAGAGAGAGAGAGAGAGAGAGAGAGAGAGATCACATGAAGGAGAATATGATCACCCACCACGATATATCAAGACTCAGAGAGAGAGAGAGAGAGAGAGAGAGAGAGAGAGAGAGAGATCACATGAAGGAGAATATGATCACCCACCACGATATATCAAGACTCCGACAAAAGTTCACGGGCAACTTGGCGTAGAGCAACGCAAACCGACGAAGTGACCAAGTGATGCACGCCTAATGTATCCAAAAATACAGCAGACAGCGTTGGCCAAATTCTATGCCGACCACGATGCTATTATAACTTACATGACCCCCATTATATATCTTCCTAGAATAGAGACCTACTGGATAGATAATTAAAGATAAAATTATGAATTCACTTGACTCTATGTGCTTTCTTTATTGGGCTACGATTTAATACATTGGGTTGGGCCGGGATTATATTCTTTTAGCCCTGATCCGGCCCATTAGGATGCCTGACTCGAACAATGACAATAGACAAAAGTTCAATGGAGATCTATGACGTTCCAAGCCAATGCCATTCGGATCCTTCAATTGAGATCTATGATGTTTCAGCCCAATGTAATTCGGATCCTTAATATTTGAAAGCCATTAGTATATGACCCTAACATCATCTCCGTCATCAATCTATATTCTTTTTACAAACTTCTGTTAAATCTTGCAAACATGGCTCCACCATATCAGCAAAAAACTCAGTGTCCTACCACATCAATAAAAAATTAGTAAAATTAAAAGTTTTTACTTAACTTCGACTTTCACTAATTTTTAAACTGGCGAGGTAGTGACATGTCAAGGCCATGTCAGAAACATTTAATGGAAGTTTGCATTAGGAACCCCCACTGATGACTTCCAAATGTAAAGAACCCAAATAATATTTAGCCAATACATTAGGAATCTCCATTGAAGTTTTCCCATAACAAAACTCATTGCACTGTTCCCATCGTGTAATATTCTAATCTTCATATACATACAGACATGTGTGTGTAAGGAAGAGAGAGAGAGAGAGAGAGAGAGTGTAAGGAAAAGTGTGTGTGTGTATAAGGAAAAGAGTGTGTGTGCTTGGTGTGTGTGTTTAAGGAAAGAGTTTCTGAAGTTCCATACCTTAGATTCAATATAAGAAAAGGCATCTTGATTCATGGATTAGACTATTTCAAATAAATGATCTGCTCCATTCATCATGATCTAAACATCTCAAAACGTCTATAAAATAAGAATCATGATGTTTAATTACTTCTAACACATTTTTCATTGTCCATTTCGTTATATTGAAGTAAAACAACTAATTTTACAACTATTTGATGCATGACTAACTACAACCCAATATGCCTGGTTTTTTGTTTATGCACAATTAAAAACATACAATTGGTGGAAGAATCATGCTAAATTTGAGCTTTTGATGGAGCCTGCAGATGGCGTACATCTCTTTTCGGCAACTCAGTGTCATCGTTGCTGAGATCTCTAAGTTCTTGAACTCTATGGTCATCGATCCCCCTGCTTACATAAGCCTTAATCATGGTCCTACAGGTTATTTTATCAGGAACACAGCCTCTCTTCTTCATTATCTCTAGCACTTCTCTCATCTCCACAAGGCACCCTACTCTCCCATAAGCATCCACAAGGCAATTAAAGAACACATTATCCAACAAAACATCCGAGTTCTCAATATGTCTCATCACCGCTTTTATTTTCTCCACTTTTTCCACTCTTCCATAAGCTCTAACAAGTGAACATAACGTAACACAATTTGGCTTTATCCTCTCAGACTTCATGAGTCTGAACAGATACTCCATCTGCTTCAAATCCCCTGCCCTCCCAAATGCGTCGATAACTACATTATAAGTCACTACAGTCCAAGAGAAGTAGTATTTCTGCATGTATTCCATGACCGCACTCATTTTTTCATACTTTTTAGATTTTCCATAGGAATCGAGCAGTATGTTGAATGTTTTGATGCTGGGGGCGATGCCAGAGCTTTGGAACTTGTCATAGCATTTCTCCATCATCTCGATCTGCCCACTTCGTCCAAATGCTCGGAGAGTAGCATTCATGGTCCAAATGTCAGGCTCACAGTCACGATTTTGGAGCATTTCCAGTAGTGCTGCTTCCATCTCTGCAAACCTTCGAGAGAAACAATAAATTGACTCAATAATCCTAACTGAAACAGAAGCAGGAATATTGATAAAGCAATTGGGCTATGGAAAGTTTAACATCGAAGGAACAAGTTTTCATCAGACAGAATTTAAAAAAAACAATGCATATTCCAGGACGTGGAGGTGATTTCGACTAGATATATCAGTAGCATTTTCTATTTCAACAAAAATTAAACTAAATTTCCTTTTTCTTGTGTTTCGTTTCATGTGCTTTGACTGTATTTGGTTGTATGGAAAGTGAAATAGGAGCTCCATCAGTGTAATGAATCTGGCCTTGATGATGAACGCAGAAAGCAAAACAATCACACAACAAAAACATATACTTGGTTCGACAATTTGCTTACAGAGAAGAAATACTTCATTACTCGAAGGAGATGTGTTGGACCATTGAAGTCATTTTCTGATTCTCCATCATTGAATCCAGTAGGGCCTTCAACATGGAGTTCTATTAGGATCCCAAATCGGCAGTAATTTGAAGTCTGATTGTAGTTCACCTAGAAGAGCCAACATAAAATCAAATTCAAGTTATTAACCGGTCTAGGAATCTAACATGGAATTAGATTGTCCATCTCACTTCCTCGGCTTCTTCTTTTCAAGTGAATCAAACTCCCAATTCATAATCTGCATGCTGCCAAATAACTTTAATTATGTACGTGGCCTATATTTGCCCATCTGTGAGCCTCATGGTTGATCCTACTGTTAAGCCCCATCCAAGTTTTATTGCATGTTAATTTACATTCTCCACCTTAGCTTACATCTAAACAAGTTCAGCTGGGAGTCAAACCTTCATGCCCCACATTCCCTCAAGTGTTACAGTCCCTCTACTGTTATTGCCTCTCCTGAGTCACATGTGATGTCGCTCTTATTTCATGAGCACATGAATGATCTTTTCAACAGGAATTGGTTTCATCAACATTTCAGTCGGGTTCTCTTTCATATTAATTTTCACCAACATGGTATTTTTCCTTGTCTCCCACTCTATATGATATTGTGATATCTCACATCTATACACTTCATTTATTATAGCAGTAATGTTAGAACCTATCTTCCTGGTACTTACATCACTCATTTTCCACCAGTCTCTCCGTGATATTGTAACATATACTATTTGAAGAGATCCCCAACAATCATGTAGCCTCTTCGACATAATAAGAAGCAAACCCTGTTCCTGCAACTTTTGCCTTGAATGGAGTCTGAATATGGTTTAAGTATTAGGAGTGCTGGAAGAGTAATTTTCCACTGATTTTCAAATTTTATAAACTGTATACAACCACTAAAATGTGTGTGCAAAGCCTTTGAAGATCGGATTCAAAATGTGAATAACATGAGGTGACCAAAAGATGAACTCCTATACTTTCTTAATGTTCTGCCCTGCAGACTTACACTTTGCACTTTTGTCAATTACCACTTAATGAACATGTGTTGCACCAACTTCATCAATCATTTCAGCTGGTATTGAGCATTAACAAAATCAGTATTTTCGATCCCAAAAAAACTCAGCATATAAGAATATTGCTCCATGACTATTTACGAAGATACACACCTGCTTAAACACAAAAGCCGCAAGCAACAAAGCCTATCTAAGAAGCATTTGATATCATAGAGAGAGATATTGGTGTATATGAATATTATAGGGGTATTATGTGCTAGTCGTATTGCCTTCAATGTCCTTGGAAATCGTCAGTTTGCTGAAGTGGTGTCTTATACTAACACAGGCCCTAAAGGTTATTAGATACCTTCATATGACAAAGTTGGCACCAATTTACTCGAGTGAAAAAGAAATATTGAAAAGATATCTAAGTTACTCAAGGACACTATAACCAAGGGGCATCATTGTGTCAGATGGCTAGAGCAACATCAAGCACCAACAACTGATAAATGTTCTTGCAGTCAATAGATGTGGAGCAATGTTCTTTTATGCTGAGAATTTTGTGGGATTTAAAGACGGGTTCTATTATTGTTCAGCATTTGCTGAAAGCAATTGATGAAGTTGGTGCAACAAATATTTTCCAATTGGTAACTAACAATGCTGCAAAATGTAAATCTCCATACAACAAAATTGAGAAAGTACACAAACATATCTTTGAGTCATCTTGCATTGTTCACATTCTGAATCTGATCCTCAAAGATTTTGCATATTTGAGTTATTGCAAATAGTTTATAAAAATGGAAAATCAATATTGAAATATTTTCTTTGTCTCAACCACTCCCAATGCTTAGCCATTTTAGGATTTCATTCAAGGCTGAGTTGTTGGAAGTTATAGAAATTAGGTTTGCTTTACATTATGTCTTTATTGAAGAGGCTATTTGACTGTAGGGTATCCCTACAAATAGTGTTTGTTAATGGAGAGAGTGGTTGAAAATCAATGATGAAAGCAGCAGAATGAAAGGTTCTAATGTTAAGGCTACAATAAATGATGATAATGTTTCGAGGGGAAGTTGAAAACATTGTTACCATCACTAAATTAATCTATCACTTAGTGAGGTGGTCTGATGGTCAAGGGCAGAAGATGAGAAATCTATGCGATGACAGATAACATGATCAATAAAATTAAAGACATAATTAGAGCAAACAGATACAGCAGTGACTACCCTAAAGTGGAGGATGTAATTCTTGCTAGGTGGGGGAAAATGAATATCCCTATGCATTGTATTAACTTTGTTCTCACACCTAGATCTTATCATGTCAACTACCTTGAGACTCCCACTCTGGGAGGACGCTAGAAGACTTAATAAAGATAAAGAAGTGATAGGTGTCATGGAGGCCTTTGATAGAATATGTAAAAATGTAGAGGTCAAGCTCATGTGTGAACAATTTGCAACATTGACAATGAAAGTGTTATATGACCCCAACGCTCAATTTGATGCAATGACTATGGACACTATTGATTGGTGGTCAACGTATGGCTTAGAAACTGGACAATGAGCTAATGCTGCCAAGAAGATTTAGTCTCCCCCTATTAGTAGCTCTTCAGCTGGAACAAGTTGGAGTATTTATTCCTACATATGTAGTGTCAAAATTAACAGATTGAACAGTGAAAGGCAAATAAATTAGTATTCCTCCATTCAAACATTCGCCGCTTGTCGTATGATTTTGTGAGAATCACAAAACTGGTCGTTATAAAGAATATGATATTGACCACGATAATAACAATTTAGAGGACTGAAGTAAACTAAAGGAGCTTAAATGGAGCTGCCTGAAATCAGAATTAGGTGAAGATGCGCCTGATGCTAAGGAGAAGAGTTGGAAAAGGAAGAAATTTAATAAGGTGCTTAGTCTATTATATGTTTTATGAGTCTTATAAATTAAGATATTTTAAAAGTGAAGCATTTAAGCATGTTTTAGCAAAAAATATTGAAATGATAATTAGTTTCCTAGTTTCTAGTTGTTTATAATACTTCAAGAAATGCTAAGTGCACACAAAAACATTTATAAAGTACCACATAATGAACACATATAAGAAAGAAACCTACTCCTCCCCTTAAATTCATACATAGCTAATGACGAATAGTGTAACAGAATTCATATGGTGACCCAAATTCATATGGCGTCCCTCTTGATGATAAACAAATAAAGAAAACTAATCATACAACAAGTGTGTCGTTTAGCAATTAGTCTACGACCACAGTGAGAGGGAAATAGTTTTATTGTTTGAAAGAGACGACAATATATTCTTTCCTCTTAGAATGTTTAACAAGAGTATTTGCTCAATTACTTTGATTTTTCTTAAGTAGAATGAGTCTCTAGGGGAGTAATCGAGAACTTCAACATAGTTTGAGTACCATTCAAACTACTCTATAAAACTGTCTTTGGTTAGAAACTAATCTCAGCCATCCAAATACGGGGCTTCACTTGGTTCGTCTAGTGAAGTCAAATACCGTCTGATTAATTGATCATCCATCTTTGCTTCCAATTGAACATTTAAAATATAGTTCTCTTACCTTCTATATCTTGTGATTATAGATGAGCCTTTGATATTTTGGATCTACTTTCCTTTTCACAACACATACACATGCACCATGTCAAGTTTCACAACGAGAAGCAATATTAGTGTCAATGCCAGCAAAAAAAGTTGCCCCAGAATGCTTAATCATTGCATGAGAAATCATAATTCACAATAGAACATAAAATACCTGCTTTTTCTTCCATAAGCATCAATGAGGATGTTGTATATGCAAGTATTGGGCTGGATCCCAAAGCTCTTCATGTCCGCAAGCAGGATTTGTGCCTTATCAAACTCAAAGAACTGAAGGCAGGATTTGATGAGAATGGAGTAGGTATGGACATCGGGATAGCATCCATCTGTAACTTTCATCTTTTCAAGAATTGAGAATGCTTGGTCTAGTAGGCCACTTCTGCTGTATGCTGAGACAAGAGCAGTGTAACTTTCATGATTTATGATGCAACCTTCATCAACCATGTCTTGGAAAAGTGAAAGTGCTCTTTCAGGCTGTCTGCATTTTCCAAGCATCACAATGAGTTTGATGTATATGCCGGTATTGGGTCTGTACCATAGCTGCTCACGGAGAAGTTCAAAAACCTAACACAGCAAATAAAAGAAGGATTTAGTGAGAAATTGTGAAATGAAGTTGGCTGTTTAGGGAAAGTGATTATCACCTAGATAGTAGATATACAGACAAAAAATTTAGACCATGAATCGAAACCGATTAGAAACAAGAAAGTCCCATATGCATCTTGATATAGATCCTCCTAGAAGAAAGATCCTAAGGTTATGCCCAAGGAATGAGTGCTTACTAATTGTTGCCGTTGCCATCGTGTATCCTCACACTTCCGTGTTTTGATTGAAGAACCAAAACAAGAACTATTGATGTTTTAAATTGGTAATTAAAATAAATATTCCTAAGGTATATTCATATTACTAGTTAACATGGCTGCCTATTTGGCCTACATTTTCCTTCACTAAAACATGCCAAATCGCATCATGAGGAGACCTTCCATATAAATCCAACTCAAAAGCAATTCTATCCAAAAGGCTATTCTCAGTAATGATATGTAAAGAGTCCTTATCTTCTCATCAAGCATAATCAAATGACGCAGAAGTATGATCTATAAGGGATGAGGAGTCTATTAATCAATAGCTGCAGGAGCTAAAAGGAGCCTATTTTGCGAGTTATAACCGTGGACAAGCAAAGTATTGCAGCTACTTACTTTGGATAAAGGGTTATTTGCACAACTGCACTTTAATACCCCAAGTTTCACCTTTTCTTAACTTTGATATCCTGAAGTATTTTTTCAATATTTGACGCCCAAAGTGCAAAAAACTTGAAGCTAATTATGTTCAGGACTATATCAACATAGAAAAGTGGATGAGAAACAAGCTTCATTACCAAATTTCAAAATTTTGAGTTTTGGGAAAATGACGAACAAAGTTGAGACTTTGGGGAATCACATTCTCAAATTAACACTAATTTGAAAATTTTGGGGTATCAAATTGTCAGGACCTGATGAACAGCCAGGGACTCTGTCAATTGAGCCAAGGACCTTGGAAGCTTGAAGACTGGTGGCTTGGGGAGCTGGGGACTGATACGCAAAGTTGGGCTGACTTGTAAAGACTTTTAACTACAAAGGGTCTTGTAGTAAATGTCCAGTTTCAATTACCAACAGTCTTAACTACTCTCTGTTTTCTGTTAATTAGTTGTGCACGTTACTGTGTACATGTCTGTTTCCTGAAACCCAAACTCTTGACCTGAGTTGTATAAATAGGAGATTGTAAGTCAGTGAACAAATCATGAATGAAATAGAACTCTGTTCTTCTTCTCAAACTCAACTCCTGTTCCCTTCCTCTCTCAAATTTTCTCAATTCTCTCCTACACAAACTCTGAACTCTCAATCTCTGTCTTCATTCTTTTTCAACCTCTGCTCACATTCCTCCTTAATTCTTCCTACAATTCTTTCTCAATCTTGTTTCAGTTTCAGCCATGGCAAGCAACACAGGCAAGAGAATCAACAGAGGATTCAGATCCTCACACAAATTCTCAAAATAGAACTTTAGGGTATCAATATTAGAAGGGAGTGAAACTTTGGGATATTAAATTGCAAAAAGTTCAGCTCATGTATTCAGACCGAGTAGAAACAAGAAAGTATCCTATGCATGTTGATAAAAAACCTGCTTGAATGCAAATATCACGTCTACTTACACAAAAATCCTCAACATCAAGTAAAAATATCTTATCTGCACTAAATTAACTAATCACATAATTCTAACCAAACGCTCTCAACATCAAGTAAAAATATCTTATCTGCACTAAATTAATCAACGAATCTTGATCGTTTTCTCCCAACCCATTAATGAAATTATGGAAAAGCAACAATGTCAATAATCATAATAACATCAAAATAAACAAAATCTTTATGCATTCAATCAAACTGGGTTTTTCGCCTACAACCCATTTGAAGAAATGCCAACATAAAAATGATAAAAGAATATCTAACCTTGAGAGCAGATTCCCATCGAAGGGCCTTTATCCGCTCATGGAGAGCCTCAAGAACTGTCCTTGGGAGGAGTTTCTTTGAACTGGTACCGCCCCTCTTCTTCTCGAGAACAGCCTTGGTTGCCTCCCTCCTCAAGATGATCGATATCGCTTTTTCCGATGCGATCTTGCGATTTCTCTCTTCTCTTCTCCCTCTCGGTTCCCTTTCTTTGTCTCTGTCACTGAATTGAGCTAAGGACGATGGTGATGATGATAGTACAAGAATGTGCGGGCGTTTTCTTCTCTTGTTTCTCATCTTAATCGGGTGAAGAAGAAGAAGAAGCAGAGTGTTGTTGTTGGTTTTGAAAGGAGGATGCGCAGCAGAGAGAGAAGAGGAGGGAGATGAAGAGATAGTGGTCATCGTTGCCATTACACTGCCAACTGTTCGTCTCCTTCGCGCATTCTTTCGGGTGTTAAATAGCTGGGGGGTTTTGAATAATCCTCGATATTCGCAAAACTATCCCCCATATCTTGTTATTTGCAAACATACCCCTCAACGCAAGCAAATTTGGTTTTTCTCCCGCTCCAACTCCAACTAAAAAATGTCAGCTTTTTAAACAAGGCAATGTCCAAACTTCCAATAGGTTGCAACATTTTACTATTTTTAAATAGGTAAGTGAAAGGAGTAGAAAAAATTACTGTGAGAGAATTGTGGGACAATTTTGTAAATATTAAGATTTGAAGAGTAATTTTGCAAATATGGAAGATTTGAGAGATGTATATGAAAAAAAACATAATGATTATTGCGTCTTTTTCATATTAGTACATTGTCTTTAATTTTTCCATTGTTTTAGAACTGAATCGAATTAGTTGTATTTGGTTTGGTTTTGACTAGTTCATTTTGTTAGGACGTTATCCATGCAATATCTCTGTTTGAGTAATAATAAACTCTTATTCAGTATTAATATTTTTTTGAAATGTTTTACTACAAATAAATATAGGTATGGGACATGTACGAGCCGAAAATGACACGAAAATTAGCTTAAAATCTGATTTCACCATCATTACCATCGATTGTGGCATTTGACCATCAATGTTGGTTGATGACCATTGATCAATGATCCATCGATAGTGTAAAAGTCTAGAGACATGAATATCATCGATGGTGCAAATTAACCATCAATGGTCTCTCAACATCATCGATGGTCAAGAGGCACCATTGGTGGTAAAGTTGGGTAATGTGATGATTCAATAACAGTCGTTCGTAATTCATATTATCCCCAACCTCTCCCACGTTCCACGTATCTTTTTCTTGACTAATTTTGTGAAAGAAAAAAACTTAGGGGAGGAGGAGAAGAGGAGTTCTAGAATTTAGATTCTGAGACGTCAAGAAGTGATTTTTTTTTTAATTCCATGGAACCTCATCAAACTTTTGCTCACTGTGCACAATAACTTCAGATTTTTTCCATAGTGAGGAGACTTAGTGTTGGATTGATCTTCATCACCGTTCATCATCAAGCTTCATTCATATCCTTCGAATGGCAGTTTATTTCAAAAGGGTTGCAAGATCATTCTTAATTCTGAGCTTAATTGATATTTGATTTGTATTTCTTTGAACTTCTTTTACAGCATACTCAAGAATGTTGAATTAAGGGTTGGGGACTAGCTAAGGCTAGGAGTTACTCATTGTGAAGAGTTAGGTTATATGACTAGTTTGAGAAAAATGAGGGAGTCTTGTAAGCCTACTAAATCAAATGTGTGATTTATAAGAACTTTTTTTATAGTGAGGAAGCTCCTCCATGAGAAGAAATAGTGGATATAAAGTAATTTAACGGAACCACTATAAAATCTCGGTGATAGTTATATTGCCTTATATCACTTATTGCTTTTATATGCTACATTCCGCTACATATTCTATGATTTGGCAAAAAATGCAACAATCCTATTCACCACCCCCTAGGCTTGCATGTAAAATCAAATAAGTAGTATCAAAGCCTCATTACGCATCTTTAGGATTCACAATCTAGGGTAGAGATGTCTACTTTGACAACCGCAACGGCTTTCCCTGAGGGGCACACTATTAACCGACCCCCACTTTTCGAACTATACCTAGTAGAAAGCGTGTATGAAAGTTTTTTTATTATTCATCGATTTTGATGTTTGCAATAGTGTAAGAATGGCTATAATGAACCCACTACCGTTGTAGGTGAGACTATTGTTGTTACTCCTAGAGATAAATGGATCCCTACTGACAAAAAGTTTTATTCTTTAAACGCAAAAGAAATGAATGCTCTTTAATATTTATTAACTACTGAAGAATTTAACTGTGTATCTAGTTGCTCTACTTCAAAGGAAATTTGGAAAACTTTAAGAGTTACACACAAAGAAACTTCACAGGCAAAATAGTCAAAATTTACAATGGTTGTGAGGAAGTATGAAAATTTGAGAGATGTATATGAAAAAACATAATAATTATTGCGTCTTTTTCATATTAGTCCACTAAGTCTTTAATTTTTCCATTGTTTTAGAACCAAATCGAATTAGTTGTGTTTGGTTTGGTTTTGACTTGTTCATTTTGTTAGGACATTATCCATGCAATATCTCTTCTTTGAGTAATAATAAACTCTTATTCAATATTAATATTGGTTTCAAATGTTTTACTACATATAAATATAGGTATGAGACATGTACGAGCCAAAAATGACACAAAAATTAGCTTAAAATCTAATTTTAGAGTCATTACCATCGATTGTGGCATTTGACCATCAATGATGGATGATGAACATTGGTGGTACAAGGCTCCATCAATGGTGTAAAAGTCTAGAGACATGAATATCATCGTTGGTGCATATTAACCATCAATTGTCTCTCAAAATCGTTGACAGTCAAGAGGTACCATCGATGGTAAAGTCGGGTAATGCAAAATATGAAGATTCAATAGCAGTCATTCTTCATTCATAATATCTCCAACCTCTACCACATTCCACATATCTCTTTCTTGACTAATTGTGGGAAGAAAAGAAACTTAGAGAGAAGGGGGGGTGAAGAGAAGGAGTTCTAGAATTTAGATCTAGAGACGTCAAGAAGTGATTTTTTTATTTCCCTCGAATCTCATCAAACTTTTTCTCGCTGTGCACAACAACTTCAGATTGTTCCATAGTGAGGAGACTTAATGTTGGATTGATCTTCATCACCATTCATCATCAAGCTTCACTTATATCCTTTGAATGATAGTTTGTTTCAAAAGGGCTGTAAGATCATTCTTAATTCTGAGCTTAATTGATATTTGATTTGTATTTCTTTGAACTTCTTTTACAGCATACTCAAGAAGGTTGAATTAAGGGTTAGGGACTAGCTAGGGCTACGAGTTACTCATTGTGAAAAGTTAGGTTAGATGACTAGTTTGAGAAAAATGAGGGGGTCTTGTAAGCCTACTAAATCGAATTTGTGATTCACAAGAACTCTTTTTATAGTGAGGAAGTCCTTCATAAGAAGAAATAGTGGATATAAAGCAATTTAACGAAACCACTAAAAAATCTCGGTGATAGTTATATTGTCTTATATCACTTATTGCTTTTATATGCTACATTCCGCTACATATTCTGTGTTTTGGAAAAAAATGCAGCAATCCTATTCACTACCACCTAGGCTTGCATGTCACATCCAATGAGTAGTATCAAAGCCTCATTACGCATCTTTAGGATTCACAACCTAGAGTAGAGATATCTAGTTTGATAGCCGCAACGACTTTCCTTGAGGGGCACGCTATTAACCAACCCCCACTTTTTGAACTATACCTATTAGAAAGTGTAGGCAATAAAAATTTCCTTTACACAAGAGGGCTCAACCATTGCATGTTTGGGTTCGCCTTCGTGCTCAGAGGCTAATACATGCTCACCTATTTGTTTGTCTCACTTACACGAGCCAAACCTCGCCGGTTTGTTTGGTTCGCCTGCACGTGTCAAACCTCGCCAACCTCACTTGTTTGCTTGACTCGCCAGCACGAGCCAAGATCGTCTGATTATCAAGCTTACCAGTATGAGCTCGACCTTGCCTGAATGCCTTGCTCGCTCGCACGAGTCAAGCCCGCCTACAGTGAGTTCGCCCGCGTGAACTCAGCTTATCAACGAACGCCAGCTCACACGCTCAAGGGTCCCGCTAGCCAACCCCGCCTATTTGCCAAGCTCGCCTGAATGTTCAAGCAGCTCTCAAGCTTGCTTGCAAGCCTGTCAGTCCCGTCTGAATAGTGCAAACGGTTGCTTTCTTGTGAGAGTGGGCACACCCACTTCCCACGTCCTAGGTAATGAGGGATGGCTCCCATCACCCCTATCGTGGTCACATCCTATAGCTATAGGGGGAGTATACTACTCCTCACTCCTATTAGTAGTCACATCCCATAAATCAAGGGATGGCCCATACCATCTTTTGCCTATTTATAGGACCTCTTTGCCAACATTAAAGGGGTTTAGCTAACAATTTGGTTGAGAAGATCGGCATTTTCAAGACTCTTCAACTAGAGGCTGAATCATTTGGAGACTTTCTCTTAAGGTTGGTATGATGTCTTGCTCTTAGCTTGTGATTAGGCTCTTCAAATAGATACTTCCATCGGCTTGCTTGGTTGAACATTCTTGGCTATAAGCTTGGATTGTTGAAGTAGACTCAATCTGAACTCTCATATTTGAGACTCCTTAGTGTTGGCCTCTTTGTTTTGATGATGTTTAACAAAAAATTTACCACTAATGTTATTTGTCTAGTGTTTGTGTATTTCTATTTATTGTAGACAAACAACAAGTTGGAGGATTGATTGAATTGCATATTCACGATCATATCTAATGGAGGTTGGTGGAATTATGGATTGAAGCAATACAATTCAAGTTAAAGATTCAAGTTCAAGCTTCATCCGTAAGTTTACCAAGAAGAGCTTCATTGAAGATCACAGCCTGGGTAATTTAGTTTAGGTTTTATATTATGTGTGTTAGTACTTTAAGCTCAATCATATACACAACATTTTATTATTTCTATGTATATATATAGTTATATATATACACATCTTGGTTTTTGGTTTTATCCACAAACAAAGTTTTTACAAACAACTTCCAAAAATTATTTATACATGTTTGTTTTCTATGTGGATAAGTTGTTTTGGTTTAATTTCATAGATATGAAACAAATATATATTCATATACATACTCATATGTTTCATATTCTATTGTATTTGTGAATTTATTATTTATAGACTTCATAACAATAGTTTATATCTTTCTTTAAGTCTATAAATCAGTTTATAGAGTTTCAAAACATGGTTTATGTCCAATATCAAAAACAAGTGTTTTTTTTCATTTACATGTTCTGGACTATTTTGTAAAATGAGGACATTTCTCATTTAGGAGATGCTTTTTGAAAACTAGTTTTTATAGCATGTGTATTATCATGTCTATAATTATTTCCCAAAGTTTTATATTTTT